ATATATAATTTGATTTTGTGTTTATGTGTATGGATTGTGAATAAATAGTTATGTAAATTCTCTCAGGGTCTGGTTAGGGTTGCTACTAGTTTAATTAGAATTGACATAAAGCAACGTATTTTATTATTAATATAATTTTTTCCCCCACTTCTGTGGCCTATAACCCCAGGTTGCAACAGAAAGAAGGAAAAAAAAAACTTTTTTTTTTTAAAAAATAAAGAAAATCATATTTTTATTCACCCAATTTGCATTAAATGTATCAAAAGTGACAATAAAACATTTATAATGTTACAAATGATTTCCATTTCAAATAAATGCTGTCCATTTAAACGTTCTATTCATCAAAAAATCCTGAAAAATATATATATTATGGTTTCCACAAAATTATTAAGTAGCAAAAACTGTTTTCAATATTGATAATGATAAAAGTTTCTTAAACTTCAAAACAACATATGTGCATGATTTCTGAAGAATCATGTGACATCGGAGTAGTGATGCTGAAAATTCAGCTTTGCCATCAGGAATAAATTACATTTTAAAATATTTAAATAGAAAACACTTGTTTTAAATTGTAATAATATTTCACAAAATTACTATTTTTTTAACGTAAATTAATTTAGCCTTGATGAGCATAAGAGACTTCAAAAACCTTTAGAAATCTTACCAACTGAAAACTTTTGAAAGTGTATATTCACGTGACAAAAAAGCAGGGAGGAAATGCATTCTGGGAATGTACATAAATGTCCTCCTCTGAGGGTTTTCTTTAAAGGGGTCATATGATGCGATTTCAATTTTTCCTTTCTCTTTGGAGTGTTACAAGCTCTTGGTGCACCGATATCCATAATCACTTCCTCTTGAATGTTGTGATGCTAGTTACTGCTACTCATACAGTCTGCAGGCTTTGTGTGTTTAATTTGATGTTTTATCTGTGTAACTGCTTTTGAGGTGAACATTTCCTTCCTCTGCCTGGTAAAATTAACTCACTCATCTCTTTTAGTCTCTCGCTCTCTCTTTCACTCACACTCACACCCCACAAACACAGTTAGAGGGTTTTTTGGATTCTCATTCTGTGGTCTAATTGGATTCTAATAGGAGTTTTCCTCCCTAGAGTTCTCTGATAAGTTAATGGTCTGTGAATTGGTCTTTCTTCAATCTCCAGTCTCACTATGTGTGTGTGTTAGTGGGCCATGAGAGACCTTAGAGGGGAAAAACACCACCGGCTTTACTCACCATTTTAAATGCTTTTATTAGGGGTCACATAAGGTCGCTCTCTCTTATTTTAGTTTGCACTAGGCAGACACCAGAAGATGTTTACAAGATGTTTATATGTTTCCAGTTTTACCTAGAGTAATCTATTTTATATTAACTCTAATTTATTGAGGCGGAATAGAACTCCAGCCCAGCTCACTTTACTGAGAGATGTACTTTATTGATTTCTGAGGGGTAATTTAGCAAGCAGACCATGAGTCTGAATCGAACAGGGGTTGCTGCGGCCAAAACACTGAATACTAACTGCCAAAAGATCACAGAAAATTGTTTGCCACCTCTGCAACTGTGTATTTTCCTGTTTGTATATATAAACCTGATGAATAGGCTGTTAAAATATTAAAGGGTAAATGATAATGATAAATCTCAATAAATCTTGAGTTTGTAGTGTATCAATTATTTATCAATTCATAAAAGCAACATTAATTTAATCAATATTTAATTAGGATAAATCGATTCTTTCCTACCATTTTCTTATGATCGGAATGGCCATATTTGATTTTATTTTCAACTTTTTCCATACTGTGAAATAAATGACAATCGGATTCATCATTATTTATTTGTTTATTATTTTATTTTATTTTTATCACAAAATTATGTAAAAAAAATAAAATTAAATAAAACAACAAAATATATATAATTTCTGTGAAAGGTTCAACATACTTAAATTAAATTAAATTAAATTAAATTTAATTAAATTAAATTAAATTTAATTAAATTTAATTTTATTTTATGATAACTTTTTTCATACTGTGAAATAAATGGTAACAATCTGAATCATCATGTTAACTATTTTTATTTTATTTTGCCATTTTGTGAAATAAATGAGAATCTGAAACATTTTTCTTGACATAATGTCATTTTGAACCGGAGTTTTAACTATTTATTTTATTTTATGCTATGCAACTTGTGTGAATTAAATGAGAATGTGAATGCCCTTTCTGACTGCTGAAGCTACAGTGAGTCAGTCCACAGCCTCACAAAATAAATCATAGTGAATCCCCGCCCCCCGACCCCCAGCCAGGCATGTTCACAGCAACACATTTTGTCAGTTTCATGTTTTCTGTTTTCTTTGTGATGCGCTGGATGTTACAGGCCAAACACATTGGTTGTGTGGGTTTCATCAAGTGTTCAAGTGCCTGTAAACCTTCTTGAGCAGTAACATTAAGCACTGATAAGACCTGCATTAAATTCTATCTGTTTGCTGTGTGCTTTTATATGTGATAGTGGAAAATGAACTGTGTTTCTGGAGTCTTTCTCTCTCTCTCTCTTCCTCTGTCCTTGGATTGGAGAAAAGGCTCAGGATAGAAATGGCTGACAGCCCAGCTCTTTAGAAAAAGAATCCTGTCTCTGACAGAGTGTACTCTCACCCGCTGACAAACACACGTGTGCGCACACACACACAAGTCATAGGTAGACACTCACGTTTTTTGACACTGACAACCATCCAAGATATACACACTGACTCGCAAATACACATATCTCTATGGACCAAGATAGCTTATATAAGAATGATGTGGTTTGCTAATTGCTAAAATGTTTTAAAAGAACAGAAAGGTTTGTAGGCACAAGCATTTGGACGATCCATTAGAGCTTAAAGGAATAGTAAACCCAAAAATGAAAATCTGCTGAAAATGTACTCACTCTCAGGCCATTCAAGATGTAGAAAGAGTTTGTTACTTCATCGGAACGGATCGAATGGATCCTCTGCAGTGAATGGGTGCCGTCAGAATGAGAGTCCAAACAGCTGATAAGAACATCACAATATTCCAGTGCTCCAGTCCATCAATTAATGTTAATTAACAATGAACAAATCCATCAAGACATTTTTCACTTCAAACCATTGTTTATTGCTTAAATATGAGCCATCTATCTATAATATTGCTTGTGAACTATTCATTTAACGAGAGAGGCAATAATAATAATAATAATTAATTTTTCAATCATTTATTATTTATCATTACAAAAAAAGAGCAAAACAATAATACTTATTGTTTTATAATATTGTTTTTGTTAGAAATAATAGTACAAAATAAAATTGGAAATAGAAATAAAATAGAAACCATTTTTTAAAATTGATACAAGGATTATTATTATTATTAAATTACTGTTTTATTTAGCACTAATTTCTTTGTACGCTACTGAGCTGCAATGAGCTGGAATGGACATTGTTTTACAGAGTTTTAATATCGATTGACCGTGTCAGCACTTCTATAGTAGGGTATTTGACCAAACACAGGGCTGAACAGCAGTCGATTGAGTGGAAATTTTCAATTACTATTTATCACCCTCCCCCTCCATCCCCCTGGTCATAAAAATGGTTTGTACTCTCTTATGTAGCTGTGCTGTGATGTTCAGCTGTCAGTCACAGAGCCGACACATTCAGAGCTTCAACGCTCAGGGTTGATTTATTTCTCTATACGCATTTTTATTTCTTATAAGGTGTATTATTTGTAATATGCAGACTGATAATATTTACTAGGAAAATACTTACTCTTATATGTATGTCTGTACACCACCATCTGCTGCTGCCTTCTAAAACAGCACAAAACACAATCATGTGTATATATATGTGTGTATGTGTGTGTGTGTGTGTGTGTGTGTGTGTGCGCAGACTACTGCTTCAGAGAGCATATGTCTGTGCTCAGATCAGGTCAGAGATCCGTGTGTAATTACAGTCCACAGATCACTGCAGTAAACCAGTGTAAACCTATTATATACTTCTGTGCTTCTTTCTTTCTTTCTTTCTTTCTTTCTTTCTTACGCTGTTTCTTTTTCATTCTTGGAGCAGCAAGCAAAAATAAAAAGAGATGTAGCAGATGATGAATGTAAAAAAGGAATTGATGGATGGTTGGTTAATGAATAAATGAATTAATTTAATGAAGGAATTCATCCATTTAGTTGGATGGATGAATGAAATATAGCAAAAGTATGTGAAAATACACCAGTTCAAAACGTATTTTTTTTAAGATTTAAGATAAAAAAAAAAAAAAATGTATAGTGTTATTTAGCAAGGATGCCTTAAATTAACCAAAGTGACAGTAAAGAAAAAATGTAGTTGAAATATGTTTTTTCTTTTCAACTTTCTATTCATCAATGAATCTGGAAAAAAAAAAAAACACTGTAAAAAATAAACCTGTAAAAAGAAAAATGAAAGTATTGGCAGCTCTTTACTGGGACATTATCCATTAATTTTATGGATGTTAACTCTAAAATGCAACACAATGCAGTGTAAAATTTGAAATACAGGTAAAACAACTGTAAATAAATAAATATTTATTTTATTTATAAAACTTCTTTCAATTAATACAGTACATTACGCTTTCATATACGTTCAGTTTCCACAAAAATGTAAGCAGCACAACATTTTTTAACATTGATAATAAGAAATGGTTTTTGAGCAGCAAATTGGAATGATTTCTGAAGGATCATGTGACACTGAATACTGGAGTAGTGATGCTGAAAATTCAGCTATATTTTTGTATACTTCATAATATATTAAAATAGAAAACAGTTATTTTAAATTGTAATAATATTTCACAATATTGCTGTTTTTATTGTATTTTAAGCAAATAAACGCAGCCTTGGTGAGCATATGAAACATTAAACATTTTTTGAATATATTATGGGTTATATGGATGAATGAATAAACGGATGGATGTAGATCGTTGATAATGAAATGCATTTCTACTGACGGTCATGTTAACATTGTTAATGGTCTCTCTCTGTCTCAGGTGAGCACCTGCGGGTTTGTTCTCAGGGTTACACCTGCTGCACGTCTGGGATGGAGGAGAACCTTCTGAACCTGAGCCGACGAGAGTTTGAGACTCAGGTGAAGGAGTCTGGACGCACCTTACAGGCCTCTCTCAACGGCCAGTTCAAGAGCTTTGACGGTGAGTTACACCTGAGTAACATCACATGACACAACAGGTGTTCGTGATGCAGCTCATGATGGTGAGAAGAATCGGTCCGTGGACTAAAGCTTGTTGAGAAACTGATGGTTTGTTTGTCGATACAGACCTGTGCTTGATATCTCAGAGCGGCGCTGATAAAACCTCCTAACGACGTTATGTGTGTGTGTGTGTGTGTGTGTGTGTGCGCAGACTACTGCTTCAGAGAGCATATGTCTGTGCTCAGATCAGGTCAGAGATCCGTGTGTAATTACAGTCCACAGATCACTGCAGTAAACCAGTGTAAACCTATTATATACTTCTGTGCTTCTTTCTTTCTTTCTTTCTTTCTTTCTTTCTTACGCTGTTTCTTTTTCATTCTTGGAGCAGCAAGCAAAAATAAAAAGAGATGTAGCAGATGATGAATGTAAAAAAGGAATTGATGGATGGTTGGTTAATGAATAAATGAATTAATTTAATGAAGGAATTCATCCATTTAGTTGGATGGATGAATGAAATATAGCAAAAGTATGTGAAAATACACCAGTTCAAAACGTATTTTTTTTAAGATTTAAGATAAAAAAAAAAAAAAATTTATAGTGTTATTTAGCAAGGATGCCTTAAATTAACCAAAGTGACAGTAAAGAAAAAATGTAGTTGAAATATGTTTTTTCTTTTCAACTTTCTATTCATCAATGAATCTGGAAAAAAAAAAAAACACTGTAAAAAATAAACCTGTAAAAAGAAAAATGAAAGTATTGGCAGCTCTTTACTGGGACATTATCCATTAATTTTATGGATGTTAACTCTAAAATGCAACACAATGCAGTGTAAAATTTGAAATACAGGTAAAACAACTGTAAATAAATAAATATTTATTTTATTTATAAAACTTCTTTCAATTAATACAGTACATTACGCTTTCATATACGTTCAGTTTCCACAAAAATGTAAGCAGCACAACATTTTTTAACATTGATAATAAGAAATGGTTTTTGAGCAGCAAATTGGAATGATTTCTGAAGGATCATGTGACACTGAATACTGGAGTAGTGATGCTGAAAATTCAGCTATATTTTTGTATACTTCATAATATATTAAAATAGAAAACAGTTATTTTAAATTGTAATAATATTTCACAATATTGCTGTTTTTATTGTATTTTAAGCAAATAAACGCAGCCTTGGTGAGCATATGAAACATTAAACATTTTTTGAATATATTATGGGTTATATGGATGAATGAATAAACGGATGGATGTAGATCGTTGATAATGAAATGCATTTCTACTGACGGTCATGTTAACATTGTTAATGGTCTCTCTCTGTCTCAGGTGAGCACCTGCGGGTTTGTTCTCAGGGTTACACCTGCTGCACGTCTGGGATGGAGGAGAACCTTCTGAACCTGAGCCGACGAGAGTTTGAGACTCAGGTGAAGGAGTCTGGACGCACCTTACAGGCCTCTCTCAACGGCCAGTTCAAGAGCTTTGACGGTGAGTTACACCTGAGTAACATCACATGACACAACAGGTGTTCGTGATGCAGCTCATGATGGTGAGAAGAATCGGTCCGTGGACTAAAGCTTGTTGAGAAACTGATGGTTTGTTTGTCGATACAGACCTGTGCTTGATATCTCAGAGCGGCGCTGATAAAACCTCCTAACGACGTTAGACAGATGGTCTCTCTGTATGTATGTGTGTGTGTGTGTGTGTAGTAGCAGTGTGGATTTCTCACTCACACTCAAGCCTGTGAGTGTGAATGTTATTCACATCCTTTACCTGAGTGATTGTGTTTGGAGAAGGAGAGATCGAGCCCTACAAGTAAATGTTTTGACAGCATCACACTTTCACTTGTCTTACAATAATGTGTATAATGTCTGTATATATATTATGTAGATATTTTTTCCTCTTTCTCTGGCTTTATAATCTTATCTTTCTCTCTCACTCTGTGTAGGCGTTTTAATCAGTGTTTTTGCTTTTTGTGTAGATTTTGGTGTGTGGGTGTGATTTTGTGATTTTGATTAGTTCTGTCTGTTAGGAACAAACAACTTCTCAATGACATCAAATCATGCTTTACACAATTAAATGCAATAAATGTGTGTGTTTTGCTGTTTTGGATGTGTGAATCTTTAAAAAAATATATTTTTGCATGAAAAAAATTAAGCTTAAAATTAAAATAATATTAATAAAAAATAATGATAATAAAATCAAAGGCATTGCAATAAACTACAGTATTGTGGTGTACATAATACTTACTAAATATGAATCGAAAAACAAATTATTATTATTATTATTATTATTATTATTATTAACAATAAAGCCAATACTAATATCAATAATACTATTCCTTGAATTAATTGTTTTAATAATATTAATAATAATAATAATAATAATAATAATCATTATCATAATAATAATAATAATAAATGAAAAGATGAAATATAAATTCTAAGGCATTGCAATAAACTACAGTATTGTGGTGTACATAATACTTACTAAATATGGGCATTTCAATAAATATTTGTGTTTTCTTTAATAATAATAATAATTATTATTATTATTATATATATATTTTTTCAAATACTATTCCTTGAATTAATTGTTTTAATAATATTAATAATAATAATAATAATAATAATAATCATTATCATAATAATAATAATAATAAATGAAAAGATGAAATATAAATTCTTTTTCCAAATTGATTCAAGGAATATTATTGTTGATATTATCATTGGCTTTAATAATAATTATTATTATTGGTAATAATAAATAACTATTTAATAATAAAACATAATTATTATTTTCTGATAAATAATACAAACTGATGAAATTACTCTCTATTACTGGGTTTTTGTACAGATGGTGACTTTGCTACTTAAAGTTGAAAAAAAGTCAATGTGTCTGTCGTTCTGGAGTTCATAAGTGCCAATTTAGGGTTTTAAAGCATGTCTGTGCCAGCTCACCTCCAGGAGTCTTGAGTGTGTGTCTGTGTGTGCAAACACACTCTCTCACACACGCATAATGTGGTGTGTTTGTGGTGAGAATGCTTGAACTGTGATTATTTCCCAAGTGCTGTGGCACAGGGAGGAGATCTGGTCAGTGTGTGTTTCCCAGCATGAATTATGCTTGGCACAGTAAGCAGCTATGGTGGATTATACCCAGGGTGTGTGTGAGTGTGTGTGTGTTTCTGTATTTGTGTGTCTGTGGTTGTGTATGTGTGCAGCTATTTATGCAAGATTTGAAAGACTAAAGGCATTAACAGTGCAATATGTGACAAGATTTTGTGCAAACATAATAAAACAGGCTCTCTGAATCATGTGTGCTGTCATAGACATGGACATTTGTTTCCAGTTCTCATTCCTTACTGTCTGGAAAAGAGATCAATTTACAGCAAATTGGGGCTAAGACTCTCAAATCATAAATCTCAGATGCTGTTGTCATTTCTACATTGATTTCAGGTTCTCTTTCATTCTTTCTCTCACATTTTTCTAGTTTCAGTTTAATAGCTTCATAATAAAATAATTTAGAAGAGGAAATTGGCAGCGAAGAGTCGTGTAGATGAGATTGTAATCTATTGAGTATAATCTGTCTATCCATCCATCCATCCATCAATTCATCAATTGTTCTCTCTCTATTGTTTGATCTATCCTTTTACATGTCTGTCTATCCATCCATTGTTCTGCCTTGCTGTTGTTCTATCCATCCATCCATCCATCCATCCATCCATCCATCCATCCCTATTGTTTGATCTATCCTTTTACATGTCTGTCTATCCAGTTCTCTCTCTATTGTTTGATCTATCCTTTTACATGTCTGTCTATCCATCCATTGTTCTGCCTTGCTGTTCTTCTATCCATCCATCCGTCCGTCCGTCCGTCCGTCCATCCATCGATAGTTCTGTCTCTTTGTTGTTTTATCTATTCTTCTATCTGTCTATCCATCCATCCCTCCGTCCATCAATCTAACATTCTGTCTCTGTTGTTTTATCTATTCTTCTATCTATCTATCCATCCATCCCTCCGTCCATCCAACATTCTGTCTCTCTGTTGTTTTATCTATTCTTCTGTCTGTCTATCCATCCATCCCTCCGTCCATCAATCCAACATTCTGTCTCTCTGTTGTTTTATCTATTCTTCTGTCCATCCATCCATCCGTCCATCCGTCCATCCGTCCATCCATCCATCCATCCATCCATCCATCCATCCGTCCATCGTTCTGTCTCTCTGTTGTTCTTTCTATTCTTCTATCTGTCTATCCGGTGAACATGATTTCACCAAGTACAACATGTTCCAGGATCAACATCCTTGTTGATCCTGGAATAACATATCCACCCATCCATCGTTCTGTTTCTGTGTTGTCTATCTATCTATCTATCTATCTATCTATCTATCTATCTATCTATCTATCTATCTATCTATCATGATCAATCATGATCAATCATGTAATCTTGTTGTACACTCCTCCTCCTCCTCTTTTTCGGTCAGTGTAGTTGTTTCTGTCATCCGGTGAGTCTTTGATTTGGATTTATGTTCTATGTGTTGAAAGGTTTGTCTCTAGGAAAGTTTTGTTAAAAGAGCTAAAACTATACTAGAGCATAATGAGCTGTTATGTGTCTGTTTTAGGAGGTTAAGTATGGCTGTCGATGTGTATTTTTGTGTGTGCGTGTGTGTTGGGAACAGGATTCTCTGTAAGGGTGAGGAGATTCTCAGTGTTTAGGAATTCATAAGGAGTGGCCTTTCGCTGTAGGGGATCATTTCTGAACGAAACACACACACACACACACACACACACACACACACACACACACACACACACACACAAACACACACAC